CTACAATGACATACCACCTCACACCCATCAGAATGGCTATAATTAACAAGATAAGAAATAACAAGTGTTGAAGAGGATGTGGAGAAAAGGGAACTCTCATACACTGCTGGCGGGAATACAAACTGGTGCAGCCACTATGGAAAACAGTATGGAGATTCCTCAAAGAATAAAAATAGAAATACTGTATGATCCACCTATTCTATTATTTGTTATTTATGCAAAGAATATGAAATCAATAATTCAAAAAGATATATGCATCCTTATGTTCATTGTAGCATTATTCACAACAGCCAAGATGTGGAAGCAACTCAAGTGCCCATCAATGGATGAATGGATAAAGAAGATGTGGTATGTATATATAATGGAATACTACTCAGCCATATAAAAGATGAAATTGTGCCATTTGTGACAACATGGATGGACTTTGAGGGTATTATGTTAAGTGAAATAAGTCAGACGGAGAAAGATAAATACTGTATGATTTCACTCATATGTGGACCAATAAACCAATAAACCAATAAACACATAGATAAGGAGAAAAAATTAGTGGTTACCAGAGGAAAAGCATGTGAGGGGAGGGAAAAAGGGGTAAAGGGTACATGTGTATGGATAAAAACTAGACTATTGGTGGGGAACACAATACAAGCTATACTGAAACTGAAATATAATAATGTACACAATTTTACACAAAAAATTGTGAAATTTACACAATTTTAAAAGACAATATGACCTCAATTAAAAAAAAGTCAAGGTATCAAAATAAAATTTACTTATTTTATAAAAAAAGAATACCCCATTTTATAAGCCCTAATGAAATAATAGACCTAGAACGACCAACAATGATTGCTAATAATTTTTTTTAAAAAGACTCACATTCTATGCCTTTTGAAGGAAATAAATGACACTACCTATGAAATATTCTTTCCAAAAAGTTGAACTGGAGTCTGAGGAAAACTTATAGATCTAACTACTAGTTCATAAGAAATACAGAGGACTTGGGAACATTAAATGACCCCATGGTGATACATTCAGTAAAACCAAGAACTGGAAAATTAGACAGAACAAATGACCCACTTTCTTCAAAAAATAAACTGCAATTTAAAAAAAGGGAGGGATATCACAAAGCAAAAGAGACTTTAAAGGAGTTTCAAAATACATCTGCTAAAAATTGACAGAACAGAAGAGGAAAAATCAGCAGTTATATTTGGAGAGTTTAACATCCCTCTTCAGTAACTGATATAAGTAAAAATTATTGCTTAAGATAAAGAAGATTTGAACACTATTAACCAACTGAACCTTTGACATTTATAGAACATTACACCCAATAACTACACAATACACATTTTTATAAGAGTACATAGAATGTTCAGCAAGATAGACCATATTCTGAGTCATAAAACAAATTTCAATAAGTCTCCAAGGATTAAAATAATAATAGTTCTCTGACCAAAACAGTATTAATTTAAAAATAAATAACAAAAAGATATGTTAGAAAATCACCAAATGTTTGAAAATTATGTAATACACTTCTAAGTTACCTCTGGGTGAAAGAAATCATAAGAGAAATTAGAAAATATTTTGAACTGAGTGATAATAAAAACACAATGTATCAAAATCTGTAGGATGCAGATTAAGTAGTACTTAAAGAAAAATTTATAACTTAAAAGTTTACCTTAAAAAATAAGAAAGATTCAAAATCAATGATCAAGTTTCTATCTTAAGAACCTAGAAAATTTAAATCCAAAGTAAGTAGTAGAAAAGAAACAATAAACATAATAGCACGAATTAATAAATAGAAAGCAAACACATAAAATCAACAAAGCCAAAAACTGGTTCTTAGAAAAAACTGAAAACATCAATAAAAGAATAGTGAGATACATGAAGAAAAAAGATAGAAAAGATATCGATATTAGGAATAATTAGAAAGGACATCACTATACGTACTACAAACATTAAAAGGGTAACAGGATGTTATAAACAACTTTATGGCAATGAATTTGATGAGTTAGATAAAAATGAATTAATTCCATGAAAAACACAGTTCACCAAAACTGACTCAATAAGAATTAGAAAATATGAATAACTCCATATTTATTAAAGTAATCGAACCCATATACCAAAACCTTTCTATAAAAACAAATGTTGAGCCCAGATGTCTTCATTGTGAATTCTACAAGCATTCAAGAAACAAATACACAATTTTATATAAAGTCTGTCAGAAAATAGAAGAAGGAACACTTCCCAATTCATTTATGAAGCCAGCATAATTGATACAAAAATCCTGACAAAGACATTAAAAGAAAAGTAACTTCAGGTCGACAGTCCACATAGACTGTAAAAATATTTAACAAAACATTAGCAAATCAAATCCAGCAATAATAAGTAGGTTAATACATCATGACCAAGTGAGGTCTATTCCAAGAATGCAAAACTGATTTAACATTTGAAAATCAATATAATTTCCCATGTTGACAGTGCAGTAAGACAAGAAAGAGAAATAAGAAGCATACAGTCTAGAAAAGAAAAACTAAAACTGTATCTATTCATAAACAACACGAAAATCCTAAGGGATTTGCCAAAAACCTACTTGAATTAGAAGCAAATTTAGCAAATCTCAGCATAGGAGATCAATATATAAAAGTCAACTGTATTTTTAAAGATTGGCACCTGAGCTAACAACTGTTGCCAATCTTTTCTTTTTCTGCTCTTTCTACCCAAGTCCCCCCAGTACATAACTGTACACTTTAGTTGTGGATCCTTCTAGTTGTGGCATGTGGGTCTCTGCCTCAGCGTGGCCTGACGAGTGGTGCCATGTCCGCTCCCAGGATCTGAACCAGCAAAACCCTGGGCCACCGAAGCAGAGTGTGCGAACTTAACCACTCGGCCACGGGGCTGGCCCCATCAACTGTAATTTCATATATTTGCAATGAATAATTAGAAAATATTATAAAATGATACCATTTGCAATAGCATCAAAAATATCAATTATCTGGAAGTAAACCTAAGAAATATGCACAAGACTTCAACATCAAAAACTATAAAACTTTACTAAGAGAAGTTTTCAAAGGCCTGGACAAATGGATAGATACCACGTAATGGATTGGAAGAGTATCTCCTCTTGTAAAATGTCTATTCAAGTCTTTTGCCCACATTTTACAAGGTTATTTGTCTTTTTGTATTCATTTTACTATTCCATGAGCCAGTAAACTCAACATCAAAAGTATACATAAGCTGTATAATCTGCGCGTTTTTATTGTTTATAAGCTATATCTCAATTTAAATGATAAGAAGTAATAATTTTTCAACTTTAGAAAGCAAGAAAGAGAAACTTAAGAGACACATCAACTAATTGCAATTAGATAAACTTACTTGGATGTTGATTCTAACAAACACAAAAAAAAATCAGGGAAAGCTGAACACTGACTTGATATCAATGATACTAAGGAATTAGTGTTAACATTTTAGATATGATAGTATAATTGTGTTTAAAAAACAGGTCTTTATTTTTAAAAGACATACTGAATTCAGGTGAAATGATACCTCAAAGTTACAGCAAAATAATCTAGTGAGGGAAACGCAGAGTGAATTAAACCAGAGCTGATAATTAGTGTAGACTGATGGATACACTAGGATTCAGTACACTATCCTCTCTATTTTACTATATATTTGAAGTTTTCCATAGTAAAAAAAAACGATTGGACCCAGAGAACGTTAAGCTCTAATTCAGTTAAATAAGTTTCTATTGAGTATCTGTAAAACACCAAGTACTGTGCCTATGTTTGTGCGTACTGCCTTAGTCACAGTAAAATACACAATTGACATTCGAGTAGTCAAAATGCAGTCTCTTGGTTCCTAATTTATCCCTCGGGAGTGGTTCAATAAACTGATAAGAACAGAGGCCTCGATTTCTCCACAGTTTGAAGGTAGTACTCCCTTATTCCTGGAACTGCACTTTAAAACCCTAAAGCCAACATCTTTGATTATACTTAAAACCAATAAGTAACTTATGAAGTTTATAGCTCAGTTCCTTATGTACAAAGCGATCCATTTATGATGCTGGTAATATTGACATGGAACATGCCTGACATTCAGAATTCAAAAGCCTATTATATAACGGAGTTCTTCTTTGAAATGAAACTGTTGTACCTTATAAACTTACATGATAACTACTATCTATCATGAAAGCAAGAAATTAGAGTATGGATTTATCATGGTTTTTCCATTTCATATTAACTCCAGGAACTGCATCACATTCTGCCCATCACAGAGTCCACTTCTCCATTTTATAAGGAAGTCTTAGAAATAAACTCACTTGTGATTGATAAGAATTTAAAGAAAATGGAGTTTCCCCAAAGCCTTTTGAGGATCTAACAGTCACCTTTGCCTCAGTAAACTATCCCAGTTTCACTGCTTTTATCTGCCCAAATCTAGAGAGTATAGTAATTTGTGGATCAATACAATCTTCATACATTTGTTTATAAAGACACTATAGCCATTTGTCCTTTTCTCACTAGGAGCAGTCTGATATTTCAAATCACACAGATCTCATTCTCCTGAATTTTGGACCATATTAGAAGTGAGGAGAAGAAAATCTTCTCTCCCTGCCAGACTTTTTAGAATGGAACTGAGCCTAGGAACTGAGAAGCCTCTTAGAGATGGGCTCCAGGTTAAAGCCACAAAGGGAGGGAGTGTCGTTATTCGTGATTCAGACTATAGGGGGCATTCATTATGAAAGAATGATGAATGGCTGGTTGGCACATCCAAGAGGATCACTGCCCAGTGAAGTCTGCTCCTCTAGTAATCCACAGACCTTTGGGGACTATGATCCAGGAACACAAAGAAGCTGCTAGTGTGGACACTGAACCCACCTGGCCCCCCTCAAGCTGACACAGGTTATTAGAAGCATTCCTCTATTTCCCTGTTTCTCCAAAGAGAGAAGAAAGTCCATTAAAAAGGAACCACAAAATGTGAGTGACATAAGTGGTAACTTTAAAATGTACCTTGATTCAAAGCCAGAGCAGGGGCGTAAATAACAATTCCAGTATACAGAATCTATGGGAAAAAAGAAAACCAAATAAACGGTATGAATTACAAATAAAATATTGATAGCTTTCTATAAGTTCAGTTAGGAATTAAAACCACACTTTCAGTGGACCTAATAAAATTGTTTGTAACTTGAAAAATGTTATTTAAGTGAAGTTGATTCTCCTTTTCTGTTTGTGATGTGGTCATAGGTTATAAAAATCTCTCATGAGCAATTTTGTGAATAAATATGGACTTTTCATGTGGGGTTAGTGCAGACAGTCACTGATCCATCAATCCAAGCTTGAAATCAATTTTCCTGCATCTAAAACAATTACAAAGAAAAAAAGAAATTTAAAAGGGGATGGACCTTCATTCACATACCTTTGAACTATTGTTAAACACTGCATAATCAATTGGGAAAACAGTGAGAATTTTGGAAACTCGTTTTTAAAGGTTTGCATGCCCATTAATTAAACAAAAGTGTAAAGTTACACTAGAAATTCTCAAAGCCAACAAAAACTGCATTCCATCTTTTTAATACTATTTATTATTTTTCATTCATACATTTAACAAATATTTATTAATCTGGGGTACAATCATGAATAAGATACGTAAAGTCCCTTTTCTCAGAATATCATTTTCATTGCACATGATTTTTCAAATATATCACACAGAAGCTAATTTTGTGATTACCCCATAAAAACATTGTAAACAAAATCATATTATGTAGTATTTGAATGTTTGATCATATAACATGAGTAGAGCTATGGAGGTAAGTCCTTCAAATGGAAGATGCTAAAGCTGCCCTCTTGCTGCAAGAGTGTACTAGCTTTCCACATTCACTCTGTCCAAGTTGAAGATTTGAAAACATGACCATAGGCCACATTCCTAACACTTGTCCCCACTTTTCATTTCTGTTTGCATTTCTAACAAGGATCCAAAGAGAGTTTGAACAGTTGGCAAATGCAAGTACCAGCCTCAGCTCTGTGTCAGAATCTCTAGCAGACCCCAAAGGGCGTCTTCCTTTGAGGGCTGATATAGCTTAAGTTATGTAATTTACAGAGATAAAAAATCCAGTTGAATAATTTACAAAGCCACTCTGTCATGCTGTAGCAAATGTTTAGGTAGCTTGTGATTGGAGAAGCGGAACTGTAAACAGGAATGAGCAGGAAAATTCCTTCCTAGACTCTCATTATCAAAACCATCTCTAAAGTACATAGCTACCCAGAGGAAGCTGGATACAAATGATGGGACAATGATCATGACAAGACTCCAGCAATCTGGATGAAGGGTGGTAGGCATTCTTTGTCACTGACGGCTTGGCAAATCTCTGCTTTCCATTTGTGTCAATCAGTAAGTCTATGCTTACATAATTCTTGAATTACTGGATTGTGACCCTGGCTTTAAAAACTCCTCCAGAATACATGGTTCTGTTGTTTTACACTCAGTAACTGTTTCAATTAGATCTCATGTTTCCATTTTTAAAAGGGAGTACTGATTCATTTTTTGAAGTATGCTCCTATTCCTACTATCAGCTGCTACTACAGCTACTTCAAATATCTGTGTCATCTCAGTAATGCCCTGACTGTCAGTTTGGTGGGGATGGTAGGAGGTAGGATAAGCAACATAATGTTGTTTGATCAATATAATATTTAACATTCATTGAAAAGATTCTGTTTGTCCCAGAAGGAAGGCATTTGCAGAAACACTGTTTCATGATCTTAAGGGTTAATGCTGTGTAGTGACAAGTGTTTTTCCTTTTTTGTTTCCTCCTATTTCAACATGTCTTTTTTATGTTTCATGCATTTACTGAGTAAGTTTGGCCGAGATGCTTTGGTTAAAAACATTTTAATGAAAAACAATAAATTAATGGAGAGCTACTTACTGTTTCAACGATGAAGAGGACTGTCCCACAGAGACGAACGTATTTATTAAATCGAAGTTCTAAATACTGTTTCAAAAAAAGGAACAATGGTTAACATGTGAAACCTCTGGACACTTTTTAAAAATCAGCTGCTTAAGAGGTAAATGAGCTGAAAATTTAAAGTAATTTCATAACTAATTTGCATTCTGTATTTTTACTTTACTATTATTTTTATTTACATGCAGCAAAATTGACTGTTGCTTTAGAGTCCAGTTAAGTGGGTTTAAATATACAGAACAGTTCCATCACCCCCAGAAAACTCCCTCCTGTTGCTCCTTGGTAGTCAAACCCCTCCCCCACCCCTAAACCGTGGCAGTCACTGATTTCTCCATCCCTAGCTTTGCTCTGTCCAGAATGTCATATAAACGGAATTATATTCTGCATTTTTAGAATGAGCCAAGTGTTGTTCTCCCCTTACTCTTGGTATCTACTCCATACATTTCCCTGATTCACCTTTCCCACAGCAGGCAATTGTGATGAAATTGTCAATCGAGGTGCCCTGCCTCATCTGACCAAGGGGTAGTCACATGACCCAAGCTTAGCCAATCAGCTTCTCTTCCACAGAAAATGACTGGAGCAGAAACAGACTGATCCTGACAGGGTTGCTGGAGAGGCTGCCCTGGCTCCTGTCCTTTTCACAGTCTGTTTAACTTTCCCCTCTGTTCTATGAGCTACCCTCATACCCTTCCAATATACTTTTTTTTTTTAACTTAAACCAGCCCACGTCAATTTCCATTCAGAGCCAACAACCCTACCAATTCTTCCTACTCTCCTTGACATCTGCTATATCTTATAATATAGTCTGCTTATCTCCTCTGTTATATAACATAATGTATTATAGAGTTAGAATCCTAGAATTTCAGAGCTGGAAGCAAGCTGGGGCCCAAGACATCCTTTAATTTGAATACTATTACTACACATAGAGAGAATCTTAAAGCTGACAATAGTCTTTTCATATAGCAGGGGGAAAAAGGAAGGCAAAACTAACACTAGGTAAAAATCAGAAGAAAAGACACTGGATATTTTTGTTCCATAATCACTGCTAACGTTCATAGAGGATTTGTCACGTAGACTGTGCTTCCAGCAACTTCATGAGGCAGGTAGTATGTATAAGTACATGTTAGAGAGGAGGACACTGGGGCTCAGAGAGAACACCAAGTTTGCAACTAATGGTTGCCAGAGCCACAATGCAAATCTAGGACCATCTAATGCCAAAATTTGTGGGTGTAACCACTACATAATTTGAAATAAATAAGTAAACTGACAAGGAGTCTAAGATTTTACAGAGTGAGTGGGTGGCACTGACACATAGTAGGACCTCCAAAAATAACTGATGTGCAAAAAATATACAGTTCAGTGTCACACACTGGGGGAAGAATTCCAGCCCTTGTCCCAGCCTCACCCCTGACTCCACAAGCTTGGTGGAGTCACATAAAATCTCAGCTTCCTCCTCTTGAAAATGAGGATCACAGTAATAATTCTTTCCCCTCTTACTTTGCAGGGTTTTGGAGGCTATTGAATGATACAAATGGATGGAGAAATATTATAAACTGTTCATTCAAAAGTAAGATATTAAGAAGCTGGTATCTAAATCCACAGGCAGTGAGAGTTTGAATTTCAGTGAATTACATGTGTGAAAATCATTCAAGGACATTTTGGAAGACTTTTCAGAAGACTCAAGTGTCTTGAAGCCTAGAAACAGAACAATGTTATTTCCTCATACTTGTTTTAGTAAAACTCTATTACAAATGAATGTACATGAATAGACAAAGAAGCCTTTGCCTTTTCTAGGTACACGTATCCAAATTGCTGCAGACTAAAGAAAACTGAAGAGAAAAATGTGATGGAGATAAGAATGTAGCAAGTTAAACCAAATAACTGAAATATACATACATATATAAATATATGTGTGTGTGTGTATATATATATTTCCCCACCCCACTCCAAGGTCAGCTGGATCCAGGCAAACCTATGCATTTAAGCTGAAACAAGACCATCTCAAGACAGAACCAAGAAGTATATCACTATCTCAGATATCAGTAGTTACTGGTCTGCTAAAGAGATATGTGGAGACCCCCCCCACCCCCAGAAGCCCAAGTCACTGAGAAGCAGGCTTAGAGAAGAGCTCTAGGATTTCCAGACAAAACTATAGATTAACAGTAGGTGCCAACAGTCAACCAAGATCTCTCGCAGTCCTCAGAACTTTCAATACCTTAGGGATGCTAAGACATCTACTGAATTAAAAAAATAAAAACAGAGAGAGTCTGGGCAACTCAGTTCAAACACACAGATTTCGCTGGATCCAGAAAGATCCTGAAGAAGTGGCGAATGAAATTGGATTCTTGCATTACACTTCTTGTCTGTGGATCTGGGAGTTGCTAAACACCTGCCAGACTACACTTAAGGTGGTGATAGACATCAAAAATGCTCCTGAACAGCCAGTCTTAGCTAACGAACTATAAATAGGGAGAGATTTCATACTTGAGCAAAAGTCCAGGGTATCACCCGATGCTGCACTTCTTATTCTGTGCAGGTGGCTCCGCCTCTCAGCATAAAACAAACAAAATATTCCTCAAGAAAGTGTTTGCCATGACCAACCGTCAGAAACAGAACATGTTATCTAACTTCTCTGTCCGCAATTGCCTGGCACCCAGTAGTCGTGAACACTCCTGGTGCATCCACAACTCTATGTGTCCTGTACTACTTCCCTTGTTCTCTCTGAACTGTCATAAGCCTTGCTTGGGGTTATAACAGACTCACCAGAGCCTTCAGAAGCAGCCATTATGCACCACTACACAGCCTATAAGCATGTGTCTACTTTGCTTCACACTCTCTTATGTAGCTTAACTAACTCTGAGTCTCTTTGTCTGCAAAATGGGGCTCTCATAATACCTCCCTTATAAGGACTGTTTTGAGTATTGAATCAGATAATGTATGTAAAACATGCAGCCTAGCGTCTGGCATGTATTAAACATTCAGTAAATGTTAGCTTTTGCCATTTTTAGCTGGAACCCTGCTAATTTAGCCTCCACTGCTGGAAATGTGTGGGAAATCTGTTTCTGGTTGAGTTAATGTTGCTGCCCCAAAGAAGCACGGGTCAGTGACTATGAGAGCGGCATTCATCTGTGGGGACTGAAGTCCTCTTGCCAAATTCTTCAAACCCTTTCTGAGTTTTGGAGTTGGTGAACTACAGATCAGCGCTCACGGACTCAAATGCCTATAAGTCCCATCAGGTAACACCTGAGCGGCATCGGTCAGGTGTTTGTACATTAACATGATGGAACATTCCTCAAGTCCACTAAGAAATATGTTCTCTCTCTCTCCCTCAAAATAAGAACTCCCTTCACTCCTGTCCATTTTCTCTTTTGCATTTTTGACAAAGACATAAATGCAAAGATTTCTCTATCATGAGAAAGCAACCATGCAAATACAGTGATGAGGCCTCAATATAGAAATTAATAGGAAGTGATAGTAATGACTGCAAACTGGAGTTCCTGTGGCCACAGAGCGCAGGCCCAGTGTCACAAGTCTTCCAGGTTGTCAAAAGAAGCCAGAATCTGGAATTTTATTTGACTTCCCACCATCATTAAATGATAAATTAATTTTTTTTCAAAACACCATAGGGGTCAAAAAAAACAACAACAATCATGACTGAAGACTGAGTTTGGCCTGGGGCAGCCAATTTGTCACCTTTGCAAAACAGAAAAATTCTATCCTGCTCACTTCTGGGGTGATGACTGAACTCTCTCAAACACAACAACCAGAGTGAGCGGAAGACAATGCTGCCCCAGGGATGCCTCGCTCTAAACGACACGACTAGAGCCCATGCAGTTTGCCACCTACACTTACGGTGCCACTGGGGCCCGGTCCCCAGCACCAGTTGAACCAGCCTCACTAGGAAACCACCTTCCAGTGGCTCTGGGTTGGAGCAAACACTACATTAAACTCAAAGACAGAGGTGGCCGGTGAGAATGAGGCTCAGAGTCCTCTGGGTAATGGCCTATTAGAGAGGAAACTTCTGCAGGTTGGTCCATGGAGGATGGGTAAATGCGACCACTGAGGGCACTAATCTGGGCCTCACCACTCCCCTGGGTTTTTATCCTCCCCTCACACTCCCATTCAAGCTCTTTAAACTAAACCAAACATTCACTATATTTGCAAAGCCCTTTCCTGCAGACAACTTGAGAAAACCTATAACCAGTGGGCTTATGCAAGAGGAAAGATGGTTTTCCTTAATCATCTTTCCATAGAGAGAGAAGGCAGAGCTGTTTAAGAACCTTGCAACCAAATTTTCCTAGTGATCCCAAGATAAACACCTCTAACCACCACAATACTTATGGCCAATATTTATTCAGCAGTTACCCTGTGCCAGACACTATTCTAAATGCTACACTTGCATCATTTTATTTAATCCTCCCAACAACTGGATGGGGTAGGTGGTATTATAATTTTCACTTTGAGATGAATGAAGAGACGCAAAAGGTCACTAAGTCACCCAAGGTTACCTAGCTAGGAAGCAGTAGAAAATGGTCTCAAAGCAGGTATTGGGACAAGAGTTACAGCATCTTTAACCATTTAACTGTCTTCCTCACCACGGCAGGTATGTGTGTGAAAGGGGAAGGAGGGGAGAGTGAAAATTCTTCCCCAACTAACCTGGAAAAGTGAATAGTGCCTGGAAAAGACCTCGAATAAGGGGATTTATTTCAAGGAGGAGGAGCTGAGACTTGAACAACTTACCCTCCCCCAAGATAAAAAGTGTTAAAATCTTTCCCCTTGACTCAGAATCAAGGATGTTAAAGTAGAAAGGGCCTTAGTGAGCACTAGTCCAAATCATTCCCTTTAATTTGGAAGCCTCTTTTTCACTGAGCTCCTGAGAGTAAGTCCCAAGATTTTGTGGCCTTTATCAAACACTTCTCCCTTAAAGGGGAGGGCATGGGAGGTGATGGACCTGGACAGGCCGAGATTTCCATATGGTGGTCTGCCCCCAGGAACATCTCTGCAGGAGCCAGAAAAGTCCTCCACACCCCTCCCCAGCCCACCATCATCCTTTACCTCGTAGGTGCTGGTAATTCCCAGTTTGTAGAACACAGGGAGGAAGATCTCCGCGCTGATGACCACCACAAAGAAGTAAGTGATGGCAAAGATGCTGTATATGGCCCCAAAACGGTAGACCTCGGAGGGGCTGCCCAGGACGGTGACCGCCGACATGAAGCTGGCGGTGAGGGACAGCGCCACTGGCACGGCGGTCATTCTTCGGCCGCCCATCAGGAACTCCTTGGAGCTCTGCTGGCCGCCCCCCGCGAAGGCGTAGTAGATGCCGATGGCGGCCGAGATGAGCAACATCGCGGCGAACACCACGTAGTCCCACACCACGAAGCTGCCGATGCCCCGCGGCGCGTCCATGGCCGCGCGATCACCCGGCCCCGCGCGGAACTGGCGGCCCCGCGGCGATCAGCCGGGACTGGAGCTTCACCTGGCCGGCCTGGCGCTCACTTCTTATTTCCCGGCGCCGGGAGCGCGGCGGGCGTGGCGCCCTGCGGGAATTGGAGGCGTGCTCCAGGAGTCGGTCCCCGCCGGGTCCCCGAGCGCCCCGCGAACGGGGGAAGGTGGGTATGCGCTGGTGGTAGCCGGTGGTCCCACCGCAGCCAGCCGAGCCCCTCGAACTGGGCCTTCGGGAAGCGCCCCCGCCACTCTAAGCGCTCATCTGATGCCCGGCTCCCAGTTGCCGGGATCCCGGAGCGCAGCAGACACCTGGGCAGGTGAGGACTGAAGCCTCCAGCGCGTCCGTCGAATCCACAGGGAGCGCTCAGCGCAAATTTTATCAAGAGTGGCACCTGAGGGGACGCACCATTTAAATGAGCAGGCGACCGATGGGGGAGTGGGGTCGAAGGGCAGTTGTCACGCCTTTACTTTTAGTTTTCCACTTCAACAGTCCAGGTCCTTACGAGAAGATACACTTGGAGTTTTCAGATTGCCTTATTTGATAAATTAATGGGCGATTCGGGTGCCAATGTTCAGTGAGCTGAGGTCCCAGGTCTTAAGCAGGTAAGCAATTATTATAAAGGCGAGGAAGAAGTCTGTGCTATAGGTTGCCTGAGTTTTCATTCAACGAACATCTTTTATCCCCAACAGTCTCTCCTAGAAATGATAGTTGCTATAATATTAATAGTACCTACTATTTAATGAGCCTTACCATGTGACATACAACGTGCTTGGCAACTTATACATTAACCAGTGTAATTCTTACTATTAACCTTGAAATAGGCATCATCTCCATTTTTCAAATGAGGAAACTGGTTTAGAAGGGTTAAAACACTTGCCCAAGAAATAGGAGAGATTAAGACTTTTAATCCAGGTCTGATATCAAAATTTGTTCTCTTTATCACATTGCTATACTTTGTAGAGTCCAAATGTAGATATGTGTTAAATGTAAACACAAATATGTATACTTAAATGACGACACTTGAAAGCTCATTTCCCGTATCAGTACTCAGGACTATTTTAAGTGGCTTCCCTTGAAATATTACTAACAACACATGAGTCATGCTCGTAAAACAATGTGATTCTCACATTTTGCTTCTAAAATAGACCCTCCAGTCAATTGTGCCCAGGCATAAGTCTATTTCAGGCCATTGTTGTTCATTTTCATACATCTTTATAATTTACCAATTGATCCTTGGTAAACAATCCACAGAATGCACTTAGCCCAGCCCAATATGTGAAGAAAGCTATATCAGATTTTATTTTTTGTAAACTGGCATTATTTGTATAATATTTTCAGGAGGAAATAGAAGCTAAATCCGAGTAATTCGATTATTTAAACAAACATGTGGTTTGGAATTATGTCCCAACTCTGTGCAATTTACTGTATTTGCACTTATTATGATTCTCTTCGACAGAGACAGTATTTTCTCCTGTTCTCACTGCCTGGCGCTCAAACTCTCACATGAAGTGGCATCTTAAAACCTGTAAGATACAGCATCCACTGCATCTCGGTTTCTTCATCTTCATCCAAACTGCAGTGCTTTACTTGTAAGAATGAACCCTCCCAAGATTCACTATGCACTGCCAGTTTACTCTACCCCATTAGCATCCTGCCAGAGGATTAGGCAAGACGATAGGTTCCCCGGAGGCGACAGCCTCTGATTGTACAGACAAAGAGGCATTTTGGTGGAAAACATCCAGACAACAGACGGCTGGCTGCCCAATTCTCTGATGGGGGTAGCTGTTATGATTGTGAACCTAGTATAGTAGAGGGATAAGACGTCTTCTCATCTATTTTTAGGGAGGCATTTCCTTTTCAGAACGGACCACAAAGTGTGTTTTTTAGTCCAATTAAAAGTGACCTCCTGGCAATTCATCCTATACTACTGGCCCTTGACCAGCTCTCAGACATCTTTTCCTACCACTTCTTTTCCCCACTTACTCTACTCCAGTCACACTATCTTCTTACTGTTCCTGGAACATGCCAAGCCTGTTTTTGTCTCAGGCCCTTTGCATGTGTTGCAACCTCTGCCTTGAATGCTCTTCCTTCAGATATCACTACAACTCCCACCCTCGCTTCATTCAAGTGATTGCTCAAATGTCACCTCCTCCAAGAAGACTTCCCTGACCACTTCATCTGTAATATGTATCTGTCTTTCCTGTCCCTTACCTTGCTTTGTTTTTCTTCACATACTTATACAATCTGACATAGTTCTTTGTTTTTCTTGTTTGTAGTCTGTCTCCTCCCACTGGAAGAGAAGTTCCATGAAGGTAGGGACTTTATCTGTTTTGTTTACCACTATACTTCCTGGTCTAGAACAGCCTGAGACCATGGTACGTATTTTTAAAAATACCTGTTGAGCCAAAGCAATTCTGAGAAAAAAGAACAAAGCTGGAGGTGTTGCACTCCCTGAATTCAAAATATACTACAAAGCTATAGGAATCAAAACAGCATGGTACTTGCAGAAAAACAGACACACAGATCAATGGAACAGAATAAAGGGCCGAGAAATAAAAGCACACATCTATGGACAGTTAATCTTTGACAAAGGAGATTCAATAAATGATGTCTCTTCAATAAATGATGTTGGGAAAACTGGACAGCCACATGTAAAAGGATGAAAGTAGACCATTATCTTACACCATACACAAAAATTAACTCAAAATGGATTGAAGACTTGGATGTAAGACCTGAAACCATAAAATCCTGGAAGAAAACATAGGCGGTACACGCTTCAATATTAGTCTTAGCAGTAGCTTTTTGAATACCATGTCTCCACAGGCATGGGAAACAAAGAAAAAATAAACAAATGGGACAACATCAGACTAAAAAGTTTATGCATGGCAAAGGAAATGAAGAACAAAAAGAAAAGACAACCCCCCAACTGGAAGAAATATTTGCAAATCATATATTTGATAAGAGGCTAATTTTCCAAAATATATAAAGAACTCATACAACTCAACAAGAAAAGAATGAACAACCTGATCAGAAAATGAGCATAGAATATGAACAGACATTTTTCCAAATAAGATATACAGATGGTCAATAGGCACACGAAAAGATGTTCAACATCACTAACTATTAGGGAAATGCACATCAAAACTACAGGCTATCACCTCACACCTGTCAGAAAGGATATTATTAAAAAGATAAGAAACAAGTGTTGGAGAGGATGTGGAGAACAGGGAACTCTCAAACACTGCTGGTGGGAGTAGTAACTGATACAGCCACTATGGAAAACAGTATGGAGATTTCTCAAAAAATTAAAAATAGAAATAGTATGTGGTCCAGCTATTCTACTTCTGGGTATTTATCCAAAGAACATTAAAACACTAATTCAAAAATATATATGCACCCCTATGTTCATTGAAGCATTATTCACAATAGCCAAGACTTGGAAGCAACCTAGGTGCCCATGAACAGATGAATGGATAAAGAAGATGTGGTATATATATATACATACACATACACACACACACACACACACACACACACACACACACAATGGAATACTACTCAGCCATAAAAAAGATGAAATCATACCATTTTTGACAACATAGATGGACCTTGAGGATATTATGCTAAGTGAAATAAGAGAAAGACAAATACTGTATGATTTCACTCATACGTGGAAGATAAACAAACAAACATAAAGATACAGAGAACAGATTGGTGGTTACCAGAGGGAAAGGGAGTGGGAGGAGGGCAAAAGGAGTAAAGGGGCACATATATATAGTGACAGGTGGAAACTAGACTTTTGGTGGTGAACATGATGCAGTATATACAGAAGCCAAAATGTAATAATATACACCTCAACTTTATACAATGTTATAAACCAATGTGACCTCAATGAAATAATAATAGAAAACAATACTTGTTGAATATACAAATAGACAAACGAAGGAATTATTAGAAAATCCTCTCAAATATACTGGCACAGGCCTGGTTTCTCATGTGGCAAATTTAATCTTTTTCTATGTTTTCATAGACATTTTGGAGGAAAAATGAGAGAAACAACATCAGGAACTACTTATTTTAAAGTTTCATTTAGACTTAAAGAAAGTTTTCTTTAATTTGTCATTATGTTTTCCTTACCCATTTTATCAGTTAATATTGAACTTGGCTAAGAGTGACAGAGACCAAAATAACAATGGCTTAAGCAAGAAATGTTTCTTTCTCTTTCACATTTAAAGATGTCCAGAGATAAGTAACCCAGGACTGGGGTGGGGAGAGGGGTGAGGCTACATGAATTTGTTTGGGATCCAATCTCCTCTCTTCCAGTTCTGCCATCCTCAGATTTGGTTTCGATCTCTGCAAGAAGAAGGAAAGGGCTGAATAGGGAATGTCCACACCCTTTAAGGACATTTCCCATCAATTTTATATGATAGCTCTACTTATATCCCATTGGGTAGAACTTAGTCACATGGCCACACCTAGTTGCAAGGGAGACTGGGAAATGAATTCTTTGTGCCAAGGGACCATGTGCCAAACTAAAAACTGAGGGTCCTGTTTCTAAGAAAGAAGGGGAGAATAAATACTGAGAGGTGACCAGCAGTCTCTGCCACATCCAACTTAACCACAATCTTCACCAAACAGACTCCTTCTCAAGGACGAGTTTACCAAGAATTTTACTATTTCCCCATGGATCATCCTTGGCTGACAAAGAAGTTCTCAGGTTTAAAAACACACATCAGCCGCAACAATGACTAGTTCCTACTTTGCCCTTCTCTACTTAAAATTAATAGTCTCCAGTTTCTCCTCTTGTTTTGACAAGCAACTATTCTCTCCTCAAGGAACTACTCAAAAGACCCCTAACACTAGGGCCACATAGAAACAGACAGGAGCACAAGTGAAGTGCCAGTCAGAGGCTGACTCAAAATGGAGGGGCATGGAGCATAAGGTGTGGTGCCTGGTCACAGCGAACTACCCTTTACCTGGTTGCTCATATCCCTTGAAGAAAGCATTTCTCAAGCGCATTTTGAAATGTGATCTGCTTTTTTAAAAATCAATTTGCATTGATTTTAGGAACACACTTAGCATACAGGGTGGAGTAAATACAAAGCTCATTAAGATTATGTACAAGGCACTATCCCAATTGTTTGGACATATAGACAATATTATTTTAAGAGTCATAACTGGAATATGAAAATCTCTTCCTGATACAGAAAATGTTGCAATGATCTGTTGTAATGGGATTATATCCACGTCAGACATTTGGTGAAGGAAGGACGGGATTTCAAGCTCACAGAAGTTTTCTTAACAAGTCAACAGTTGAGGGAGTTACATGAGCTGCCTTAAAATTTAAATATTCATTGGCTTGTTGCCTAGAAGTTATTTTAGTATAAAAACTAGATCCTTCCCTAAATAAGGTAAATGATATTAGCTACAAGCTACAAATTCTCACTATTTTTCTCCAGAACTTTCTTACTGAGTTCAACTTTATTCCTCTCTCTAATCAATGTACTTATAAACATATAAAAGTTTATAATATGCCTATTAATATAATGCCTTATAACTGCATAGTTCACTCAAGTCTTAGAAGTATATTCACATTTAACATTTTGTGAAAATTGGCAACTTAAACCACAATAGATATACGCACACATTTTTTTTCAGCCCCATTTTTGGTGTGTTTTTAAAATTTGGCAAAATACTTTTCTCCCAGAAAAGTAATTGGTGGCCCTGGAAATTCATGGCCTGCTCCATCTGAAGGCTATAGATAAAGATATTGAGAAGAGGATCAACAGAGCCAAAACAGTTTTCCCCAGGGTGAAATTCTGTTTGAATTTCCTATTATTCACCTCATACAGTTGGGAAATACTTACTTACTACTTATCCTGACACAGAAAACAAGAACGAAATTTATATTGAAAATTATAGCATTGCATTATTAGTTACTTCATATCTGAATAGGTTTCTTTTGTAGAAATACAGGAGTTTTTCTGAATAGCGTCTAATTTTTTTAAGCAAAGTAGCTAGAGATAGGCCAATGGGAATGGACTAACACTTGCGAATAATTATTCTCAAGTGGAAAAAGGACTTAGAATGTGCTGACATATGTCATAGCTCATGCAAGGATAGGAGCTACTCAAAGAGCTCTTAAATTTTCATGAGCAGACAACCATCCCCATCCATCTTGGAAGATGCCCCCAATTCTTCTCTCCCTTATATGAGTCCTTTCATTTGTAAATGCTCTCATCCCATCTCTTCCTGTTAGAATCTTACCCACCATTTAAGGTGACCTCAATTGTCAAAATTTTTTGTGAAATATTTCACTACTCCTAATCCTACCTGCCCCACAACCAGATGTACTCTCTCTCCTGCTTTGAGCTCTCTTAGCATGTTTATACTCCCTTTTCAGCCTTCATAGTGGTACAGCATTGCAGTTGTTTTAATTAAGGCTCTTAATGTGGGAATATTTCAATGATTCCATGAGTCCAAAAGCAGGAACTGGAAAGCCACTCTACATGCCTGCTTCCTTTTCCCCCCTCTCTCCAGATGGGTCTTCTCTGCATTGCCAAAGCACATGGTCAGAAATATCCAAGCCAGTGCTCTCATGCCCTTAATTTCGTGGGCAGCAGAGATTGATCAGCACCTTTGATATCTAATTCTAAATCCCTTGGAGAGGAAATCTGATTGGTGCAGCTTGGGTGGCATGTCCTGGACCTCAAATCCAATCAGCAGTGGCCAGATGGGCAGGGTTCCCATTGTGGCTGCACAGATTCACCCTGAGGGTGGGGAAGAGGAGCTAGTTTCCCACGTAGGAGGGTAGACACCCTGAAAGGTGTCTCCTCTACTAAACATCTGTGTCATTTTATTATCTCCTATGAGAGTAAGATCAGTTTCTTAGGAAAAGGGACTGCTTGCTCACCTTTGTAAACCCCCAGAACCCAGCACTCTTTGTTGCCTGAAGAAAATGCCAAGGCTCTTGTTGTACTGATCCTACCTTACCATGCCTGTTGGCATCAAGAATTTCCGAAAAATTTCTCAAAATGAAATTTGGAAACTTGAGAGTGATTTTATTGGATCCTGAATCTAAACATCTAGACTTAGTCATATGCTTTCCTATCGGGGCAGTGGTGGGGAGCCTCTTTTTTCTATTTTTGAGAGGAAAAGTAAAGAAAAATGTACTACCAACATAATTCCCTACTGTCTGTTTATTCTTTACCTTGAAATCATAATCACAGTTACTGGGGGGCTCTGAGAATATCCTTCTGAAATGGCAAGGGAAGATAGGAGAATAAGAATTCCTCTACAGAGCACTTTCTTAATGTCCTTCCACCTAGGAACACTGAGTAAAGTTGGGAATTTAAAGCTGTACAACAGCCAGTGCCATCACATGGCTTGAATTGGGAGAGGTGTAAATGTGTCAATACTTGGCACACAGGTATTCTTTTATTTTGTTTTTTATCTGGGTCTCACTCTAACCAACTCAATGTAATCAATTCCAAGTTGGAGTACTAGGTACTGTTATTAAGTAGTGGGATCAACCAACTTAATAAATTTAGTCAGAGAAGTTTTATCTGATGCCCTGGCATGCTCCTTCTTAGATAATGAGGGAATTAGAAGGTGCACTTAAAAATTTAAAAATATAGGAGCATAAATTAAGAATCAGTTGCAGAGTTAGAAGATAAAGTTTAGGAAACCTTCTATAAAGCAGAACAAAAATACACAGAGATGAAAAATAGGAGCAAAAAGAAAAGAAAATTAGAGGGGCCAGCCCAGTGGCACAGCAGTTAAGTGTGCATGTTCCACTTCAGTGGCCTGGGGTTCGCCGGTTTGGATCCTGGGTGCAGACATGGCACCACTTGGCAAGCCATGCTGTGGTAGGCATCCCACATGTAAAGTAGAGGAAGATGGGCACGGATGTTAGCTTAGGGCCAGCCTTCCTCGGCAAAAAGAGGAGGATTGGCAGCAGTTAGCTCAGGGCTAATCTTCCTCAAAAAAAAACCCAAAAAACAAAAAACATAACTTTGGGGCTGGCCCGTGGCTGAGTGGTTAAGTTCATGTGCTCCACTTCTGCGGCCCAGGGTTTCACAGGTTGGGATCCTGGGCGAGGACATGACATCGCTCATCAAGCCATGCTGAGGTAACATCCCACATGCCACAACTAGAAGGACCCACAACTAAAAATACACAACTATGTACTATGTACCGGGGGACTTTGGGGAGAATAAGGAAAAATAAAATCTTTAAAAAAAAAAAAAAAAGAAAATTAGAGACTGAATCCTGAAAGTCTAAAGCCTGACTGTAGGAATTCTAGAGAGAGAATGGAGGGAAGGAATTTATCAAAGGAAAATTCAAGAAAATTTCCAAAGATCTTAAGAATATGATTCTTCAGATCGAATGTGCTCACCAAGTGTGTAGAATTTAAAGAGATATCAAGACACAACATGGTGAAATGTCAGGACCACATAGATAGAGAGATAATCCTAAATGCTTCCAGAGAGAGAGAGAGAAAGAGAAAAGTCATATACGAAGTTCAGAAATCAGAATGGCATCAGACTACTCAACAGCAACATTGAAAGCTAGAGGAAGATAAAATAATACTTTCAAAGTTCTTTAGGAAAATTACTTCCAACCCAAAATTCTATGCCCAAACTATCAAATCAAGTGTGAGAGAAGAATAAAGATGTTTTCAAATATGCAAGGTCTCAAAAATGATATTCCCTCCACACCATTTCTCATGAAGCTTCTGGAGAATGTGCTCCAAGAAAAGAGGGAGAAAATGCAGAAAGAGGATGACATGGGAGTCAGGAAACAAGAGATCCAGATGCACTAGTAAGTAGCTAGTCCAGATTGGAGCAGGAAGTCAGAAGGCTCCATGTGGAACGACTCCAAGACAAAAATAATGCAGTATCAGATTGCCTCACAGGTTTGACCTTTATAAGAGAGGAGTTTCAGAAACTCTTTCAAAAAGTGTGGCGGTAAAGTTTTAGCAGATAGATGGAAAACTAAGCAAAATATTTCCCACTAAACATGTTGCACAGCCACCAAATTAGCAAAAAGTAAAGTCAAATAATACCAAGTGGCAATAATGTGGAGCACTGGAGACTTGCATATAATGTTGGTATAAGCACTTTGGAAACTGATTGATAATATAAAAATGAAGATATTCATGCACTGTGACCTAGAATTTCCACTTCCTGTCGTGTGCCAATTGCAACTTGTGTATATCTGTGCCGAGGAGTATGTACGAGAATGTTGACGGCAATGACTCACTCCAAACCGGAAACAAACCAAAAGTACAACCACAGTCGCATGAATAGTTTGCAGCATGTTCATATAATCGAAATGTATGTGTGCATGATATGGTTGAATTTTACAGAGTTGAGTAAAAGAAGTCAAACACAAAAGAATATGCACTGCATGACTCCATTTATATAAAATTCCAAAACAGACCAAACTAAACTGTGTTGTTTCACAATAGATACATAGGTGGTAAAATCATAAGGAAAAAGAAGGAAACTGTAATCATAAAAGGTAGACTAGTGTTACCTCTGGGGAGAGGCAGCTGGTTGCCATCAGGAACACCACGTGGAGGGTTTTTAGGGTGCTAGCAATGTTTTATTTCTTGATTTGAGTATTGGCTAATGTTCGCTTTATAATTATTCATTAAACTGTATGCAAATATTTTACAACTTAAAAGAAAACTACTTTTTAAACAGTATGGCACATTGAACACATATTTCCTTTTGTTCTCTCTCTCACCTTACTAAAATAACTGTAGTAGAATGAAACAGCATAAACTATCAAAGATAAAGAGACTGAAAGACGAAAGAACAGAGATAAAATTTTGTAAGTTGGAAAGCAGATGAACAAGTAGAAACTTACTTAGAAAACCAAAGGAAGCTGGAATTCAAGCCAGCACTGTAGGAAGCCCGGAAGCAGGCTTATTTGTGCTTCAGAAGCCCCAAAAAGATCAGGAATTGGAGGTAGCTACACCTCTTGAAGGGGGGGAGCTGCTGGGGAGGGGGGCTGAAGACAGAATTGGCTGAAAATCTGTATCTGAGGAAATTTTATCCCATCCCCTTGCCTAGCCTGTGCAGCACCGCAACTGTCCCTCCCTGACCCCAGCAGAAGATGAAGTTTCATAGAAGAGCTTAAACCAGAGAGACCCTGGACAGAGGACATTGGGAACAATGTGGCCAAGCTTCTACACTGAAAACTGGAGGACTAAGGGGATGTCTACATATTCAAAAAGAGAAGACCCTCTGCATCTTTCCCTGTTCGTCTCTCCCAAACTCTTCCCCAAGAGCGTAGATCTCCACTCAGTATGTCTCAGCACATTAGGTAATCTCTGTGGACGGTTTGCTCTCTAGTACTGCTACACAGTTGTTGCCCTGGGATCTCAGTTTATCATACTCTGAGGATTTCCCCCAGCTTTATCCTGTTGATCTCTTATTACCTGAATCTCACGTTTCCTCTTTGGTATATAACTTTGTCTTGGCTGTGCATAGCATCCAGTAGCTGCCTGAGAAAGAGTCCACAGGATGCCATTCTTTTGAGAGCCAGCATGTCTGACAAAGACTTTATTCTCTCCCCTTATACTTGATGGATCATTGGGTGGAGGCTTGTCAACTACTGGGCTTTTCTATGGGGTGTTCTGGCTAAGTTCATTAGGCAACCCCTGGATATCAATATCATTAATGTCTCCTTCTCCTTCTTCTTCTTCTTCCTCTTCGCCCCGCCCCCTGCTCCCCTGCTCCTTGCCTGTCTCTTCTAAAGAGCAAGAATTTTGATTCGCTTACCCCTGTATCTCTGGTGCCTAGTACCACAGCTGGTACCCAACAGGCATTTAACTTGAATTCAAACTAACAACTTAACATTGAAGTCAAATAAACTTTATTTCTTTATGTAGTGAGCTATCTATGAGGGAACTGAAAATGTGAGAATAAATAATAAAAGAACTCCTCCACTTGAAGGAATTGTATGCGACAATTAAACTCAGCATCACGAGGAATGACACCATCCTTCTGCTTTACTCAACTTCTCAGCAGCATTTCACAGAGTGGATGACTGTCTCCTTGAAACTCCTGGCTTCCGGCACATCTTCTTGGTTCTCCTGCCTCACCGATTGCTCCTTCCCAGGCTTCTCTGCTGGAGCTCCCACCTATTCCTGGACTTTCAATGTTGGAGTGTCTTAGGGTTTAGTCCTCTTCAACACTCTCACCATAGGTGACCTCACACAGTCCCTTAGCCTTAAATTCCATTTATATGCTGATCATTCCACATAGCTCTCTCTAGCCCTGGCTTCTCCCCTGAATGCCAGATTCTTTTCTTTTTTTTATTGAATAGATATTTATTAAGCACTTATTTACAGTAGGAATGTTCTAGACCTTGAGACTATGCTCAAAGATGGATCAAATATATAATTCTCTGTATAAGAAAATGAAGTTTGAGTTTCCAAAGAAGAATGTGGAGAATTAAGAGTTATGGAGTTTTGGCTCAGAGTATCTGTTCCAATTTTCTTCTTGTGTGATCTCCCTTTCCTGTGGAGAGCAGAAAGCTAAAACAAAAATGTCTCCAATTCATTTTCAGCTGGTGATCCAAGTTTGATTCAGGTTCCACATCAGATGCAATCATATGAGACTTGAAATTTGAACTGAGATAAATGGGATATAGGGCATGTGTTTTATCCATGCAGATGATAGGAATTGTGGCACGGTTCTGGAGCCAAACTCTGTCTCTGAGGCTTGCTGATATAGCAGAAATGGCTTCTTTCCTCGCCACCCACCCACCCCCTGCCCCCAAGGAAGACTAGCCCTGAGCTAATATCTGCTGCCAATCCTCCTCTTTTTGGGGAGGAAGAATGGCCCTGAGCTAACATCTGTGCCCATCTTCCTCTACTTTATATGCGGGACGCCTACCACAGCATGGCTTGACGAGCAGTGTGTAGGTCCGCACCGGGATCCAAACTGGTGAACCCCAGGCTGCCGAAGCAGAACGTGCGAACCTAACCACTGCGCCACCAGGCCAGCCTCAGAAATGGATTCTTGATAGCAGAAAGGGTGGCATGATGTGGGACCCTGAAGCTATAGTGGCAGCTTCCTGATATTGCACATGAGGTTTCCAGATTGGAGCACAGCGATACTGTTCCAGAACCAGTAACTACAGCCAATTTAGCAGCTCAGACTGAGGCAGTTTTATATTTATATATGTAATAAGGAATGCCTCCTGATTTGACAAGCAGTTTCCTGATCATAGTAGGAGAAGCATCTCTTTTGGCAGCCTGGTTCTACAGTATAGACTTGAGAATAGATTCTAGAATCTCATCCTACAGATTTTTATTCAACAATCTTAATAATTCTATAAGCCATATGACATGCTGTAATAAATCCTTTTATTCAAACTGTCTACAGTGTATGGTGACAGATGGTTACTAGACTTATCATGGTGATCATTTCATAATGTATATAAATGTCGAATCACAATGTTGTACACCTGAAACTAACATAATATTGTATGTCAACTACACTTCAATTAAAAAACAAGCAAACAAAAAGTTGTCTAGAATGAGATCTATTCTCTGCATCAGAATGTTGACCAATAGGAAACTCCCAAGAGAACACACAGAACACATAAGATGACAGTTTTTAGAGGCTATTTTTTAAAGTAAATAAAGTAGTTGAGTTGAATAATAATTGAACCTGATAACAGGTCTCCCATTGTGATTTCTCTCTTTTTCACTCCCAGTTATTTTCTACTTCCTTCTCTCTATTCCTCACCTGTTGGAAAGGTAAGAGTAGACTGTACATTCAGCTATAACATCTGCGGGGAAATGTTCTTTTGAAACGAAGTGTCATATTTCTAATTTGCATTGTTTGATTCTTCCTCAATATGGTGCAATGATCTTAATCCAAATCAAACTCATTTTCCACTTTATCCTCAAGTGTACATCCTCTTACTTTTTTTTTTACTTAAAAAAAATTCTTACTGCTAAACTTCCTCCCTTTTTGTCCCCATTCTTTCCAGATTCTTTACATCCAATGGTCACACAGCATCTCCACTTGGAGATCTAATAGGCATCTCAAAATTTGCGTGGCCAAAACCCAACCTTTTGATATTCATTCTACCAAACCTGCTGCTCTGCCCCAGATATTCCTGCCTCGGTCATTGGCAACACCACCTACCCACTTGCTCAGGCCAAAACCTTGTAATCACAAAAGGCTGTGTGCACCCGGGTTATGATTCTCGACTCTGCAGCCAGAACGCCTGGGATCAAAGCTCAGCTCCACCATTTCCTAACTGGGTCAACCTTAGACAAACCATAGAACCTCTCTGTGCCTCAGTTTTCTCATCTGAAAATTTAGACAATAATAGTGCCTACCCTATGGGATTGCTGTAAGGATGACATGAGTGAATGGTGTCAAAGAATTTAGGATCTGGCATAGGGAAGGCACTAGAAAGGCCTTCAGTATTATTGTTGTTATTAATATACGTAAGGCATAGGAACAGGACCTGGCACAGAGTATGCATTAGGTTACTGTTAGCTGTTGCTATAATAAATATATTGATTCTCCTTTTTCTCTGATTATCACATTCAACTCAAAGCAGATCCTGTTGGTTTTATATTCAAAATAAAACTAAACTATAACTACTTTTCTCTGTCTGCACAACTGTAACCCTGACCCAAGCTACCTCCTTCTCTCAGTTGAATCCCATGATATTCTCCTAATTTATCTCCCTGACCCACAGTCTGTTTTTCACGTATGAATCTGATTGTGTCGCTCCTTCAGCAAAATCTTCCACTGGCTTCCAAAGTACTCAGGTCTTGAGAATAGCCAGCAAGGCCCTCTTTAACCTGGTACCTGGCCACCTGGCCACCATCAGCTCCCACCACTTTGCCCTCCCTCATTGGGCTTCTCACACAAGCCTTCTTGCCATCCTTTCAGCACATCTAGTAAGCTCTGCCACAAAGCCTCTGCACTTAGTGTTCTCTTGCTGGAATGCTCTTTCCATAGATAGTTTATGGCTTCCTTTCTCATGTCATTCACGGCTGTGCTGAAATGTCACCTCTGACCAGTCAGACTGTTCTTTCCCTGATTATTCTATATAAGATGTGACCCACCTCACCCCATCTCCACCCCCATCATTCCCTATCCTCTTTTATCTGTAGATATATAGATATAATATAGCAATATATTACATAGATATATCTAGCTATATATCTATATTTTACTGTATATTTTTTGTTTGTTTTTTTCCTACCATTTATCACTATCTGGCATTATACTATTCAGTCCTGCCCTGTGTTGCAAGGGGGTGTTATAAGAAGTAGACTTAATCAGTTTTATTTGCTACCTCTACTTCAGCTTATGAGGCATTCTTCACATTTAGGAGGATGGATTTGGATTTCTTGGGCTAGGAAGCCACTGGGCACATTCAGCATAAGTGCCCACATGTCATCCTTGCAGTCTTGGAAATGATGTAATTGTCTTACGTTTCCCATTTTAAAGTACTCATGGAAGTATTTATCTTGTGCATCGTTTACATCCATGTCTTTGGTCTTTATTGCTTGTCTTTTCTTTTTTGAACTAAACATTTAATTACATAAACACTGGCTATCATATGGATGCTTTGTGAGCACAGACGTAAGTCCTATGATAATTATTTACCTATGAGATAATTGTGTCTATTTTAATGGGATTGGTGTTGTTTTTAGCATAAATGAGAGTTAATTTGAGGGCTCAAGAGAAAAAAACGTTTTTCCTATCAAAATTCATGTTAAATTTTCAGCCTATGAGAAAATAAGCTACATTTTCTCCCCACAAGAGCCTTTATTCAGGAATAAATCATCCTCATTGGTTCAGAAATATTGTACATTACTTCTTTATTTAGGTATTTCATGTCCACCCCACTAGAATGTTAGTTCTGTGCAACAAGCATGTTGTTTTACTTAGAACAGTACCTGATGCCTATAGACATTCAATAAATAAGTATGAATGAACATAAAAACCTACTTAAATTGTGAGAAAACACTTTTTCTTTTGTTCTGAAAAAACAGAGACATGTATAGTTAATAATTATGGTTATGTTACACATATGAAAATAAAGACATGTCGGAAGAAAATATACAAAAAATGGTAATAGCTATAGGATAGTTGTGATTATAGGTGATCTTTTTCTTTTGCTAAAATTTCCGAATTTTCTGAAATGTTACATTGTTTTATTTAAAAAATAAAAAAGGTATGTCCCAAGCGAAAGCACATTGAACTGGAAGTCCAGAGATCTGGATTCCAGTAATGACTGTGCTGTGTGATCCTGAGTAAGTCTCTGAATCCCTCTGTGCCTCCGTTTCCCCTTTGGTAAATGGAAAGTCATAGGGCTTCCTAGCTCCTAAATTCTGATTCTACTTCCTGCTAACATTAGCCACTCCTACTCCTCCCCTCTGTAGTGTTTATTCTTCACTCTGGGCCAGAGGGTAGAAATGGTCTGGAATGTCAGTGGGTAGAAATGGTCTGGAATGTCAGTAGGCCACCAATAGGTGGAATTGTTTTCATTACTAATAGTCTTTATGACTATCATTTTCTTTAAAGTGACTTGCAGTGATGGCTCCAGTTTCAGCAGTGGTGTGACCTGTTCTCCCAATTCCATTTGCTCTGAGTTCTAGGAACATGTCAGGAAGCCCTGAACCCAGCTGAGGGCTGGCAAAAGGAAGAGCACAGCACATTCCATGGCATTAGGCTCCTGCTTTTCTGGTTTGGGTGGGGTGATGAGTTGGCCCTGGGTTGGCACTGACTTCCCTTTGCTTTCATTACATATGGTTTTTGCTTCCCTTGGAGACAGCTGAGAATCGCAGGTAGGGTAAAATAGATCCCACTGCCCATTGGATAGGGGAATCCTCAGGACTAGAAGGCCAACCTCAAAAATCCTATAAGTTACAGGCTGTATTTTACTTTAAATCAAGTCATTTTGAGTGCATGCGTGATCACTCGTGCTTCATAAGATGAAACAGTTCATCAGGACAGTACTTGGAGAATTCTCATCTAGTGAGCAAGTTCTCTCCTTGAGGCAGTGATGTGGGACTTAGTAGGCTCTCAGTTTCAAAACCTCTAACCAGAAGAAACCATTTCTGTAGTTCGCACCTTTACTTGTGACACATACAAGTCTCAATTTCACAATGGAGTAAAGGCACAGCTGTGTGCCAATATACTAAGCGCTTCCCTAAAGTCTTTCAAATGAATGTACAAGTGTTACTGCATCGTGGTGAGTAGGATCATAGAGTATGTCAATCCACTTGCGTAAAATCAGGAAATAACCCAGCATTTGAGCACAAGATGTTTCTTAAGATGATGTTGAGACATCTGTGATTAGAAGAATCATTTTTAAGATTAAACAAGCTAACATACGTAAAGTGTTTAAGGAAGTTCCTGGCATATAGTAAGTACTCAATAAAAGTTAGCTTCGGTTGTTTTATTTATTTATCATCATTATTATTATATTCAAATACATTGGTGGCCCCTTTTCCCTCTAGGAGGGAAGAATGTTGCTGACAGCAGAGATTTTCCTCCACCTCCAATTGTTGAAGACAAATTAGAATATGCAGAGAAGCAAGAAGAAGACCTAACATACCCTTAGTCTGACGCAGGTTTTCATGACAGATATTCCTCAATATTTTGTATAAATAAAGGAAAGTATTTATAAACGTCATTATCAACACACTGAGTATACTCATATACTGAGTATCTACTATGTGCACGATCTAAGCTAGGAACTGAGATAAAAAGAAATGTGTCAACAGTCCTTGATTTCAAAGACCTCATATTCTAGTTGTGGAGGTAGGACTTAGGAGGAAAGGAAAA